GTTCTGGGCTCGAGATAGGGTTGTGGGTTAAGTACAGCAGAGATGCAGAGAGTCAGACTGGACCCTGGGCGGGTCCAGCAGGACGGACGGGGAGGTCCGAGGTGATACTCACTGAAGCCCACCATTCTGTCGGGAACCTTGTAATCCTCCGTGATTACCCTGCTGCAACACAAACACACACATTAGCACCCTGCACACACACACACACACACACAGCCGGCGCGTGTGTCGATAAGTGATTACGGCGGCGCCGCCTGCAGGAGGACGGATCCATAACGCTTATCACACCTCGACACACTCGCCTCTATTTGCAAACAAGAATATGAAGGTGAACAGGCGTCATTATGTGCTGAGTGTGTGTGATCGATACGAGCTGCTGCTGCTGCCGCCGTACCTTTGATGGCCCATGGCTGCCAGCTGGTTCCCTACTGGAGGAGAAGAACAAGCACAGATCAGACGGCCTGAGCTGAAGGCTGCCAGCCGACACAGCTCCAAATCAGCGGTCCAACCCCAAGACAGCATCGGTTTGTGTTTGAGACCCCCAGTCTGAACTCCAAATACTTCATGAGCAATAACTCTGTTGTTCAGGCGGTAACGATGAAGGTGTTCATTCCACAGACTACACTCTTTACATGAGTTTTCTTTTAAATGAATGAATTGACATTATTTCAAACAAATGAAATCAAAAGAAAATATTTTTTTTTAAAAACCAAAAACAATAATAACACATAATCAAGTCATGACATTAACAAGTTCAAAGAGGAGTGGGAACAGGTATAGGCTCTTTATTCTGACAGCCCTGATACACATTTATCTGACAAATGCAGGCTGTGTTGTTTCACAATGATCTGACGACCCCCATGGGGGCCCCGACCCCCAGCTTGAGACCCACTGCTGTAAATGATGCTGTGGTGGCGGCAGTCGAGGTAGGATGGCAACATTCAGGATGAGATCTCCTTTTGTTTTTTTCAATTTTTAATTTACATTTTTTTAAAATCATTTTTAAAATGTATTTTATTTCTTTTTATCATTAATTTTATTTATTTATTTGCTTTAAAAAAGATGAGGATCTCCTTTTTAACCCTTCTAGCTAAAGGTAAGACACATTAAACATGCTAGCTGCTAGCTCCAGAGGCTACAGGTGAGACAGGCGGTGGTCCAGGTGGACACTCACCTCCGTCCTCTCCGGGTCTCTTCTGGCCGGGGTAGTACAGCGAAGGCTCAACGCTTCCTGAGGAGCTGTTGAGGTGGGACATGGCTTCTCCGCCCATCTTCCCCACCATCTGAAACACACACACACAGCAGTCACACCTGGA